AAAGGATATACACCCTACCACGACCCGATGCGCTCTGGGCGTATACGCTGTGCGTCAACGCACGTCCGTACATCGGCACTGGCTGCTGCCGAGCAGCCTGCCGGGAGTTCCACGTAATGAACTCGTCGTGCATGACACACATGAAGTGCACGGAGCACTTATGGTAGCTGTGGTACGTGTTGTACACAGTTGACCTCGTGTACGGGCACATGGACCTGTACATTGTGCTTGCACATGCGTCGTGCATGATGTGAGCACTAGCCATGAATCCGTTCAGGCAACAGCACAGCAGAAGCTGCTACCGCCAAACATGGCAGCCTTGTGGTGGGCGTACCACACCAAAGGTTAGTACCGGACGGTACATGGTGTCGATGGGAGACACCTGCACCACGGTTGTGTACCGTCACGGTACACAGTGTCGATGAAAGACATGTTGGTATGACGACCAAGACGCGAAGAGAGCGTGGCAGAAGCTCTGCCCGCAAGGATGGATCCTTGTTGGAGCCAAAGGCATGGCCCGAGGCGAGCTGAGAGCTTCCTCTAATGCTGGGTCAAATGTTGACCTTCTCGGTGTCGTCCCTCGCGGGAGACACCATGCTACGGACGCGTTCGCGAGGACTGTCTTGTCCTCTGGTGCGAACTGTGGGCGAATGCCACACGTTCGGATGATATTGCATCCTATGCCAAAGCACTGTACACACACTAGCGCAAGAGCTAAGGCAGCTCTGAGTGTAGGCTTTGCGGCCTACACAGCTGTGAGCATAGGCATGCAAATCCCAGTGAGCTTTGGGAGCATAAGTCACTGTGGGTGTCACTGAGAGCCGCGCCAGTCTCGTGGATGCTCAGTGTGAGAATTCACCTTTGGGTGTTTTAATTCTCTCACTTGTAATTGGAGAATCAGGTGATTCTCAGCTTTGTGGGGGAGGATGTAACGGGGTACAATCTGGTGTGCCCCATGTTACATAAAGAGTGACCCGTCACTCTTGTGGACACCTGGTACATGGTACCAGGTGCTCTCGGAGCCTATCAGGGCATGGCTACTTAGCTCCACTATAGGTAACCTCTAGTGTGGATGGAACCCAAGCTAACCTTACTTATAAATACATCAGTCTTACATCTACTCTTCTAAGTAGCAAACCGTTCCCACGGAGGCAGAACAAAGTGGACTAACGCTCAATCGGGTTAATACCCTTAAGCACTTCCTCTGTGCAAGGTGCTGTGTGACCCCGTCACACTCAGGCGCCAGAGAACCACATCACTGCAGCTACGGCTGGTACTGTACACGTCCCGCGTCTGGATGAGGACACGTTTGACAGCTGGGACTCGTTCTTCGACTGCCTTGCTGCGTACCAAGACGCAACGCATCGAGTCCTCAAGAAGAGGACATCATCAAGCGCCAAGGCGAGGAGCGTAGAGCTTCAATCGCACGGAAACGCTACTCTCTCCACGCCGATACCTTCTTCTTTCGACAAATACCACCGGAAATTTGTGTGCACGTACAGCTGGACGCGGCCAAGTCGGTCCAAGTGCAAGCGCAAAACCTACTTCGTCAAGTCGACTAAATGCGGGGCACAGATGACTGACACGGTGGTGTGGGAATGGTGCCCGTGGTTTTCACATCAAGGTCACGGAACAATATTCAGCATAACCATGTTCTAAGCTCTGGGTCCTACGAAAACCACCCTGCCAATCGTCGTGTTGCGGATAAGCGGATTACTAACTTCGCGGCTGAACTCCAAGCGGATGAGGTAAAGAAGAAGCTTATTTTGCAGAAGAATACGGGTACATTATCTATATTAACGTATTTGGCTTATATATATATATATATATATATATATAATTGTGATATGTTCTCTGCGAGTGTAGGAAAACACTGAGAGACGCTCACAGCTTGGTATCCAGACTGAATGAAGCGTGGCGCGGATCTTCCAGTGTCAAGAAAAGTTTGAACCCGGGCTTCGTGAATTTTACACACACTGCGACAATCTACGTGGACGGCGACAAGCTGGCACAGACCATAGCGTTCCAGACCCACCAGATGCGTCGAATTTTCGAGGCATTTCCCCAGGTGTTAATGGAAGACGCCACTCACAACACAAACAACGCTCGGTACTCTTCAGCTTTATGATTTTCGACGACTTCGGCCATGTTCGTGGCGCAGAAAGATTTGTGTACTTATTTGTAGCACAAGATGCTAATTGGGATTCTTTGTGTGCTTCATGTGTGCCTGTGTGACAGAATGTGACTCTAAGGCATTTTTGTGGGCCTGTGTGACTTTCCAGCGTCAATACTTCCAGCACACTCTCATGGAGAATGGGAGTTCCGATTGCTTGATGAACGCAGTGACCTCCTTCAAGTCGCGTAACACCACGTGGGACCAAGTCCGGTTTATCATCGCTGTAATGGGTCTACTTTAAGTCCACTAATTCGGCATACACGTTAGCGCACGTGTTTGAGGAAGCGTAAGATGCATTTCACTTAGACTAACTATATTTTCGTCCGAAAGTATAGATTTACTGAAATGGAAAAAGCCGATTTCCGGTAAAATTGAGAGCTGTTTATTGTTTTTGTTTGGGTTTTCTTCCTAATCGAATATTCTAAATGAAAGGTATATGCCAACGAATGCCTGACAGAATCCTACTATTATAATTGGTTGGAGATATTGACTTTCAACCAATGAATCTCCTAAATGCATGCATACCAATAGTCTGCCAAATATGACCGTTGGTGCATCTCACACCAACGTGGAAAACCTTGTTCTTAACCAAGTGGCAATGTGTAGCCACTTGCGTGTAGCCCGTTAGCCCCCCCCCCCCTGCAGGCACCACCACTTCAGCGTCCGGGCAAACGAGCACGCCCGCGACGAAGGACAAACTTTCTGTCGCTCAATACCACGCTCTGCATAAACACAAGTGCGCGCAAGCTACGACTGACAAGCCGTCAGTCGTCATGGAGGGCTCGTCAATTATTTCTACTGACGAGGACATACCCATTGACTATGGGTCTGACATTGAAGACGTCCCCATGGAAGACGAGGACACCTCGTATTCAGCTGTCGACTCTAAGTCGACCGAACCAACGCCCGATCTACCTGTTGGGTCGCGGCGTGGTCGTGACGATGATCCGGACGCTCCTGAATCAAAGCGTCCACGTAATGAAGAAGAGGCGCAGTCATCTGTGCCGGTGCTGCCTTTTCTCCGCGTACTGCACCTGCAGTACGCGCTCCCTGGATGCCAACTGCATCTAAAATCGCTGACAGGGTCGGCGCGACTTCACCGCCAAACGATAATACTGTACGTGTGCAGCGCCATCAATGATGACGCTGAGGCCGTCGACATGCACTTTGATTCGTCAACGAATCAAAGGCGCGACTACTACATCGGACTCGTTCATGGGCTCCGATGGAATGCGTCGAAGAGAACTGCGCGCACGAGCAAAGTGCCCGAGTGCCCGAGTGTGTGGCACTTTGTCAGTCTTGGAACGCATTTGTTGTGAGCTTCAACATCAATGCGAAAAGCTACCGCGAGCGTATTGTCGCGACTCGCCAGCGTTTTGAAACCTTCTCGAAACGTTATCTCATCGATCGCCTCCAAGTTGACACTATGGAAGCGGAAATCCCCTGCGCAGTTCCACCTGAATCTGCGTGTTTGCACTGCCGCCTCAGGGCAGTGCGCCTTTCTGAGCGCGATATTCTCGGGTACACTTCCGTACGTGTACCCGCTCCTCTGCGAGACCTCCGTGCTCAATTTGAGCACCGTGATGTATCCTGTGCTCGTGGCTCTCGCAATTTTAGTGCAGGCATTATGCCTGCACTCGGTTCTGGCCTCGTACGCCCTCACCATTTCCGGAACGTCCTTCATCAGGACGTCCTGTGGCTCCCACGTATCTTGATGGGGAGAAAATCCTCTCCAACGAGTACGAAGACAAGCCTGATCTTGGCTCGTCTTCGGGGCTTCACAGTCCACGACTCGCTCGAGAATCCAATGTGGAGAGCCGTGTGCATCACGCAGCGGGGGCGGGGGGGGGAAGATACCCTCCGTATGATCAACCCCAGGTTGACCATGGCTCCCGCGTTCTCCACGAGCGTGGCGTCGCTCTGGAACAATCCCAGAGCGGGGATTTCTCTGTCCTGCAACAGGAGCCGAGGCGCCTGTGCGACCGCGTCATTGCGCTCGAGAAGCTGGCTCACGCCGCTTCGCCGTTCTCGAGCCATCAAGACTAGATGGCACGTGTTGCTCGTAAGGCTTCAGCCGCTCGACGTAAAAGTCGGGTGGAGTCGCATGCTGGACGGTATGTCCAACGTATACGCGTTGTCATGCCGTTCGGGCACTGTGAACGGACCGATGATCCAGTAAGATGCTTGCCAGATCTACGGAACTTGATAGAACCATGGACGACGACACGACCATGTTGGTATATGACGCGAAGAACCTAGTTGTGTGGCAGTCGTCCAGAATGGAATATGAGCAGCCACAGGGTGGTAGGAGTAAGGTACTAAATGGAATATTGGATGCGTGGATTATCTTTACGACTACGAAGCGAAATATGAGTTGTTTCTCGTTTCAATGACGATGAATCGTGGTTTTAGGCCTACCTGGCGTATACACTGACAGTTCCAGTATACGCACGCAGAATCCACTCTTCACTTTGCACTAAATCAGCGACAGAATAAGCCATGACGCCGCGCCAGTTGCTCCCCAGCTGCTCAAACAACGTTCTCGGAGAGCTTATCCTCAGGTATTTCCGGGCCGGATCGCTCAGCATTACATATACCAGGATAGCTTGAATTTTAAATTATTCCAAAGTGCAAATCAAGAATACAATCTATTTTGGATTTCTATTTTTCCTCAAGTAAGAAAAAAGCTCAAAGACCACTCAGCAATCAAACTAGGCATAGCTTGCTCACTGCGACGATCACGGTTATTGGTCCGTAAGCAAAGACTCATTTCCTGATTCCCTCCGCCCTACACGCATTGCTTAACTGTAAATTCAAATATATCATGGCTAAGCTCGAGTTGTTCAGCTACTGGCAAAGTAGTTGCTCCTGGCGCGTTCGGATTGCCCTCGCATGGAAAGGAATCCAGTACGAGTACTATCCAGTACATCTGCGTGGGGTGGATGGTGGGGAACAAAGGCAAAACGCGTTCCGAATTCTGAATCCCAACCAGGTATGGTATTAATAGTCCGTTCCACAATAACGCTTGATATATTGAAATCAATCTTTCTCGTATCTAAGAATGCAGCGCGTTCCTGTGGTGCTCATGGATGGGCGTGTAATTGCCCAGTCCGGTGCTATCCTCGAGTATTTGGAAGAGGCTTACTCGGCGAAGCCATTGCTGTCGAGTGACTTGTTTGAGCGCGCCCAAGTGCGTAATTTGGCTGGCATCATTAGTTGCGACACCCAGCCGGCTCAGAGCATGGGCTTGTCTGCCAAGGTGAGGTGTCAGTTGAGAAATCTAGTTCGTATCATCCTCACCGATAGCTTGGCCACGAATCTTTTTTTCCTTTTCGCTCAATTGGATTGCTGTAATAGGTCGCAGACTTACAGTCACCGGCCAGCGAGGAGGAGCGCCAAGCGCTCGTAGTGGCTTGGAACAAGCACTGGATCGAGCGTGGCCTACGTGCCGTGGAGGAAGATTTGACACGCTGCGCTGGCCGTTACTGCGTGGGTGACGAAGTGAGCTTGGCGGACGTGTATCTGCTGCCGCAGGTGCACAACGCGCGCGCATGCAACGTGATCCTGGCCGAGTATCCGACGATCTCACGTATCGTGGGCGAGCTGGAGCAGCTGCCGGCGTTCGTGAGTTCTCGTCCAGACAAGCAGCCGGACGCCATCACCGAAGTGGACATGTGAGCTGTGCGGATACCTGTAATGTTCTAATCAGATCTGACGGCTGGAGTTATTTTAGGATCTGAAAGCGAACTTTTTACTTTAAAAAAATAAAAAAACGAAAGATTCTGGAACAGTTCAGTTATAAGTGGTATTTTTTATAGGCTGAAAATAACCAGGTGGCAATGAAAATGTGGCTCACATTTCAATTGCATGTTGCAGCAACAACAACAAAAAAACAGGAAGGGCTCCTCATTTTTCAAGTGGAACCGTTGGGCACAAAGGTATTTTTTTCTGCATTGATGCTTCTGGGTCGCAGTCCCGGGAGTCCTCGTCGTAGCATCATCGGCTCCGAGGAATTCGCCAAGGCCGAGCGCTCGAACTTCTTCGGACGCCGGCTGGCGCGCTTCTTGCGCCGCTCCTCGGCTGTATCCGTGGCGGCCGAGCAGCCCAGTCACGTGCAGAGCACACGGGGCGGCACAGCTTCCGCAGCCACCTTGCGACGCGCTTCAACACAACCAGAGACGGCCATTGGTGCCGTGGATCCGGAGATCGCTTTTAACGTGCACAAGGCGCACAGCTTCGGCGTGTGCACGCGCAACGGCGCCAGACTTGGCAATGAAGATCGCTTCCGCGCCATAGACGACTTGGATCTATATGGTCGTGGTCTGTTAGAGGTGGCGCCGCGCTCGGTGCCTCCGTTCTTCGTAGATTTGCTAAAGGGCCGCGTGCTCGAGAACTTTATCGTGGAAGGCCGCGCGCCGGCGCTCAAAGTCCGTACCTTACTGAAGCATGGAAGAGCAAGCGAGGATACACAGTTCTTTGGAGTTTATGACGGCCATGGTGGAGCAAGGGCCTCGTCGCTATTGGCACTGCTTTTCCCTCTGTATATTCTCGCAGCACCTGAGTATAAGAGCGACTTGGCTGCTGCGTGTCATTCCGCTAGTATGGCGCTTAACGAAGAGATCTTGAAACGGGAGAAGGACGGACATTGCGAAGGAGGAGCCACAGCTGTGACGCTGCTTATCCGAGGCAAAACATTCGTGCTAAGTAACACTGGCGATTGTCGAGCGATTATGGTGGCAAAGAGAGATAAAGTGGCGCACGTGACGCAGCTTACAACGGATCATAAGGCCTCAAACGACCAGGAAAAGCAACGAATTGAAGAACACGGAGGTATGGTGCTCTATGTGAAGGGCGTGGCCCGTGTAAATGGCCGCCTGGCGGTCGCGCGAGCTTTCGGAGACGCCGAGCTGAGCGAGCTCGTTATCGCCGACCCAGAAGTCACCGTGCACGAGCTGCATCGAGAAGATGAGTACATTGTTATGGCCTCGGACGGCCTATGGGACGTACTGACGAACGAGCAGGTGGCTTCTTGTATCAGGTATGAATGCTATTGGATAGTGCTGACTGAGAAGTCGGTAGCCAACTGGACTGACTTCTTGTTTGAACCTGATTTCTACCAGGAACAATCCATGGCTGAACGTTCAGGAAATGGCCAGTATGTTGGCCGACCGCGCCGTCGAGCTCGGAACAATGGACAATGTGACAGTGATGGTGGTGGACGTACGCGGCAGAATACCCTGAGGGATTTGTGGCGATGTAAGCAATGCCCCACCGTCACTTCGTGTTTTGTGTAATACGACCACCCGAATTCCAGTGCGTCAAGCAAACGAAAACTCGCCGAGCGGCACTATTTAACCCAAGTAAGACTTTGTTGTCCAACAAATTAACTCCGTATTGTACACGTAAACGCGATCGGCTTGTTGCAGACTTAAAAAAAAAGCGGAGAAAAAGTTGGATTTGCAGTGTTGACATTGAAGCTGCTGGAAAAATATCTTCTCTTTGACAGCAACAACCATAAACAATTCTTAGCAAAACAATGAGCATATTCAGAAACTACAAAAACTATTTTTATTTTTTGTACTTTATTCCGACGGAGGACGAGTCACCTCTCTCTCTCACCGCGCCGCGGATTAAATAGGACAAAGCGTGCTGCAAATATAAACACTCAGCTCGTCGCTGCGGCTGCGGCCTTGTCGTGCGCACAGTTAAGTCATGACAGATCGAAGACGCAAGCGGAAAACTACCAACAGCTTTGTTGATGACACGGTCATGGATTTCAATGCTGTTGACCCCACTCAAGCTCGCAGGCGGAGCGAAGGTAGCGAGCAGGAGAGCAGAAATCGACACGAGTCATGGATGTCCGAAGTCTCCCTAGCCATGAGCTCTCGACTTTTCTCGGGAGGAAAGAAACTCAACAGCTCTCGTAGTAGTACACAGGTGATGCCAATCGCTGCGATCCAAGGTGACAATAGCAGGATGTCGGAGGGCCGCATGTCCTCGTCATCGCTGCAGGAAACAGAGCTGCCACAAACGATTTCAACGTCTTCAACCGGTCAACCGCCGCTGCGTCAAGTTGCGTCAGATAGAACTTTGACCAGCTCTACAAGTTTACGCTGCACGTCTGAAGTATCCGCGTTCGTGTCGTGTCCAAGCGTAATTTGTGATATTACACCAGACGACAGTGATGATAGCCTTCCAGACAGATCTCGCCGGCCTTCGAATGGCTCGAGACACAGTCAGCAAAGGAACAATGCTCGCAGACAACGCTCTAGCACTGTGGTGCAGAAAGTGAGACCACGAGAAAATGACGACGATGAAGACGATGTCAAGATGATAACCACGTGGACTCAAGTGACTAATATCGGTGCTTACTCGCGTGGCACTTGTGAAGCTAACGATTCCGAGATTAATGTGCAGGATGCAGCACCAATTCTAAAGGGATTCTTCAGCAAAACCGTGACTGTAAGCAAAGAGCAGCGTCAACAACAGCGACAACAAAAGAGAGAGACTCTCTATCGAGAAAGCAAGCAACGGCAGGAGAAACTTCGTCAACACACCGAGAATAAACGAGTAGCTAACGACGAATCCATGCGTAAGCTGAAGGTGGAGCAATTACGTCGTCTCAATCAACAGCGCAGAATGGAGTTACTGCGAAGCGCTGCCAGTTGCCGAAAAGGTCTACTCGACCACATTCAACATGATAAAAACATGTACCAGACGGAGCGTGAACGATGGGAAAACGACTTCGAGGATGAGATGCGAGTGCTCAGTGCTGCTTTCCGAAAGGCACATGCCTCTGAGAAGAACCGACCGATGACTACTGCAGGACTCGCCGTACCTGAAGCGCTTTCGCAGCTAGAACGCGATGCATCCAACTTCGAAAAGCGAGTGAAGACAGCTGAGCCAGCACTTGGTGGTTTAACTTCTCGACTACGGAGTACAGAACGTCCCAGTACCAGTGGCGACATGGCCAATGGCATGGGTTCTTCTTTGTTTGAGTCTTGCCAAGTGTTAGCGTTAGAAGACTCTAAAGAGGTGCCCGACTTGTTTAGAAACGACGACCAAGCGAGCGGACCTCTTCCCCCTGAAGAACGACAATGTCGTGGTCAATTCAAAGCGACCCAACCTCGCCATCAACCATCTCCTGGATGAGCGAGAGCAACTGCTTGAGCGTCTCGCTACGGTTAATCGCATGATCCGGTCACAGCAGCAATTGCAGTACCAATTGTAGAAGTTAGAATACCATCAATTGCTCTATGTAGTCAATGTCCACTGCAATTATGTTTTTTAGGGAACAAATATCATATTAATCACAAAGCTGTTAAACATTCGTTGATTTCAATACGCTGGTGCCGCGCTTTCTTCTCACTTGTCCGTGTGGGCAATACACTTGTTCACAACCGTAAGCAGGTGCGAGTTTTCGAGCGCAGCCGCCACGCGCTCTTTGTCGTTGAGCTGTTTGTTCACCGCCGCCTCGGACGAGTGCGTGCCAGGCGTGATAAGGATGTCCACCTTGAAACGCGACGGTAGCGAGCGCAGTAGCTTTACGCGGAGGCACAGTCCGATTAGCGTCGCCATACTACAATAACAACAAGCAACAAAAATAAAATGAGCAAGCAATAAAAAACAATTCAAAATTGCTGGCTGGTCACCTGCAGTGAGGGATGGTGGGCGTGAAGAAGATCTTAACGCGCGAGTTAACATCGTCCACGTGGACGTTCTCGAGCGACATGACTTTCAGTTGCTCTAGCGTCAGCGGGTGCTCCGGATCGTTGATGTGTCGAAGGATTTCTGTAGTTTTCAGTTTGTTAGCCCTTTCGGCTGTATCGTGCGAAGGTTGATGTCTAGCAAAACGCACCGAAGACCTCATCGGGCTCGAAAGGGTCGGCGACATCCTCGTCAAGCGTCTCGTCCACGTTGAATTTCTTGCGCGCCGGCGTGGCCACCGCGTATACTGTCGGGTTGGCGTTGATCTTCTCCTGTAGACCCATGTTTCCTCCGAACCTGTCGAATGAATGACACAAACTCGTTTTAGGTGATACGAAATCACAAATTTGAACGCATTTCTAAAGGACAAATCATACCATTTCTAACAAATTAGTTAAAAATAATTGTACCCCCCCCCCTCAGAAGTAATCAATTATAAACAGGGTAAATGACAAAAACGGGATGATTTCAACGTTTTGCCAAAAGGCGTGGTGGTGGCGTCGCTATTTTCCAGGACTTGGGAGATATTAGACCGGTAAGGAAGGCCACTGATACGTAATGCACTGTGCGTACGGCATTAGCCAAGACTGGAAGCTCTCTCTTTTGGCGTCAAAAGGCGTTTGTGTCAGGGAGTGGTGACCATTACTATAACAAATTTCTGTTGCCATTATTCAAGGTGACGTAGAGCACCGACAGCTTCTGAGCACTGTCACACTCGTCGCCATTAGCTCTAGAGCGCACAACAGGTGCAAATGACGCTGCCTGGCCGGCATATTGCCTTTTCAAGGCGTACCACACGCCTTTTGACAAAATTTGAAACCACTTCACGTTTTGGCATTTACCATGGATGCAGCTCAACCTAAAATTATTTACTGTTTAAAAGTAAAATACAGTACACATGAAAATCGGCAAGCTCCAAGGCCAGAATCCAACGTCGGGTCATCCGAACGCGTGCCTTCCTCCACTATTTTTAGCCCATTATTAATGCTGATGAGTTTCCTCGGATATGCGCAATTGCTGCGGCTCTTGATATTAAGCATCGGCGTACAGGAAATATAACAAAGCACCACTGACAGCGCTACAGTTTTAGATACTTCGAAGTACCCGACACAGTTTGTATTGGTAAACTCTTGCCGCCTGGTATGCGAGTCGAATGATGCAATGAGGCTTTTTGGCCTGGAGGGCCTCCAGGAATCCTCAAAAGTATATTTACTGAAAATTTTGAGATTTTATTTATAGATTTATTTTGTGCATTCCTTTACAATTTTTTTTGTCCTTGTTGCAGAATTTCGCAGGCTCTGGGCTGTCTACAAACCGGTTCCATCGACGCAATCTCACTTTGCGCTTCGCACACACCTCAACTACCAACTCTCGCACCCTTAGCCGTGTCAGACGATGCCTTCCCAACGCTCGAAGAGCAAGTTTTCCCCGAAGCAATTAATTTAGTACCACGACCAGGTTTTGATGCAGATATTTATTTTCCACAGTCGCAGTATAAGTTATTTATTTGCATATTTACGATCTACCGTGCAGGTATCTATTCTCATTTGACCAAGAATCCATAAAAAATATATTTTGAGGAACCTGGCTGAAGGCCCATTGCTAATAGCAATGCTATCGGATTGTTGTTTTTGCGAACTGTCTGAGACCGAATGACTGAACGCGGCGTTGGTATTTTCCCTACCATACCAAAAAATCTCCGACCTCCGTGGGACGAGATCGGACTTAAAGAAGTTAAAAGGTAATTGTGGGTAGGGGAATTAGAGACCTTGTGCAGATTTGTCTATGCTAGAAATTGCCGAAACGGCACGTTTATAGGCGCACTCACAGGCTCTGTGGGCAGAGAAACAGGCAAAAAATAAAAACGCATGATTTTAAGCTACAGAGCCTTGTGCACTACAGGCTGCAATTTGAGAAATGAGGGCGCCACCCAAAATCGGGGTCCACTAAAAAGAGCATTAGTAAAAATTCCGTTTTTACGCCTGCGCGTATTTACCCCGACACGTAGCCTCCTACCAAGTTGGTGGTTAAGAGTGGCCGACAAACAGATTTTTGGGGTTCTTGAGTGTACCACGCGAACCAGACATCCTTCAAGCTTAGAGCTGGAGAGGTGCGGCGTCGCTTTCCTGGAGACTTCTTCTCGCTTGAGTCCTCACTTTCTTCTGGTTTTGTAGGCGCGCGTGGGTGTTTGTTTCCAATTATGTCTTCCATTACAGTCAACCGGGCGTCAAGCTTCTTGTTGACCTGGATTAACTGCTCAATCAATGCTGTTTGCTGAAAATATACTGGATGCTGGGTGATGTTGTCTGGGTTGTCTTGTGCAAATTTGCTTTTAGAGTCCTCCGCAGTACTTGGGTTGCTACTGAGGTACGCCGACCAAGCAAGCAGATGATTTACAGTGAAGCCTTTATCCTCGGCACAAGCTTCCAAGCGCTGAATTACAAGACCGGACGTCGATAGAGTCTTCAGTGACGGATAGTGCCGCAGAAGGTAAGCCATGAGAGTGTCGTGTACAGCCGCGTTAACGTTGTACTGCTCTGATTCCATTCCGGACGAAGACGTGAATAAAGCTGAAGAGACCAAGCGAATACTTTGCCGGGTATGAGAGTCGAATTACATCAGTGACAGCAAAGCGACGGAGTCATCTGGTCCTCGATTACTCAAAACACGAGCCACCTTGTGATCTTCAGCTGGGGTGTTGAAGACGTATGCGAAGGCCTAGTTGGTTGCCGTCATGTTCCACGCGCCTCTGTCGAAGATCCACTGCACACACATGCCAACACTATTCGCATGTTGTGCGCCATCGCGTCTAAACGAATGTGACGTCAAGCGCTGGACAACACCAGCTTCAGGCATTATTCTCGTCAAGCGGCTTGTTCTCATCTGTGGTGGAGTTGAGTGAAGCGACAGCTTCTGGGTTATCGATCAGATCGATCAGTGGTGCTGCCGGAGTCAGGGAAGCTTCGGTCGCCACTTGTTGTTCAGGGAGGTGGTTTAGCAGCGCAGCCGCCGGTGCCGATTGAGTTGCAAGAGCCACAGCGATAGCTAGCAGCGGACACGTGGCGAAGTCGTCGTCGGGAAAAAGGGGGAGACCTTGTTCTTCGGACGTCTTGACAACGGATCAGCCTCAGGAAAATATCCCCCCCGAATCGATGGATAAGTTCAACTCCGAAGTAGCGAGATGTCAGAGGCTCGTCCAACAGTATCCAGAGCAAGCACAGCAGCGCGCGTCCTTGGTAGTCCCGAAGCTGTTACACCATTTGAATAGAGGTACACCATCATCTGCTTGAGTGCTTTCTTCGTGCATGCAGGTGCCCTTCTTCACAAAATTGCCTGACTCTCGCTTCATGCAATAGCGCTCCAGCACTTGACCCTTCTTCAGGAGAACCTTGCCGACAGCCTCTCGATGATGTGGGAACTGATCGAGCAACCAGTTCTTTGCCTGTCGGTAGTACTGCATGACTGAGTGCCTAGCCAACAGGCTGCCCTTCCGTCCTTCCTTGAAAGCGAGATGCATTCCAAACTTGTCCACCACGGCCTCCAAAACGCGGGGAGCGTTGTCGCGCTTCATGCACACCTCTAGGTACTTTCATGTCATCCCTTCTTCCTCAAGAAACGCTTTGAACATGCGTGCCGCGCCATCCCGTGCGCGCTTCGTGATCGTCGGTGCGAGGTCGCTCAGACTCATCTTGCGTCGGAGGGGTCGGAGCTCGCGTGCTATTTGCAAAATATGCTAATGATTGGAGGTTTGTATGCCGATATCAATAACACAAGAGGAGCCTTCGACCCGATATGTCGGAGCTGCCTCTTATCGACCTATACTGACCATACCGTGCTTTGATTAGTCAAAATATTGGCACAGTCGATGTATGATTCGTCCAAATACGGGCTATCCTTTCTGATTGGTCATTAATACTAATATTTTATTCAAGTATGGTCGGAGAAATGATGATATTCATCCATACTGAAAAATTTCGCCACGAGGCTTACAACCGGCCCAGACTGGGCCGGTTGTAAGCTGCACCAGCAGTACAGTGTTTTCTAGAATGAATGGTAGCACTGTAAGCTCGAGGCACTTTTATTATACAGTACTGCACCCCGTTTTCACGGGGTGAACCATATAGTATTTGCAAATAAATCAAATTTTAGCTTACAAACTTCAGCTCATTTGGATTCAGGATTATCACATCCGGAAGTTTATCAATGGTCCAAGGGCGCGAAAACGGGGTGCAGTACTGTACTTGTAGCTGCACCTGGCTCACATTCTGGCTCTGTCAAATCGCTCGCGCTTGATCGACTACGTTTTCTCGGAGTCGGTACCGCAACATTACTACAACATGACGATTTCTCTTTTAGAACAACACAATGGCGTTTTGTGTTGCTGGGTAAGTTATTGCAAGTTATATTACGCTAAAAATCTCAAAAGCGGAAATGTAAATTTACAGTGTCTATTAAGCACGAGATTCAATAAGTACGAGTTGTACAGACCTTTCGTTTCCAAGAAGGGGGAAAAGCAAGATGCCGAAGCAGCAAGCGCGCCGAGAAGCGCAGAGCACAGGTAAGACACGGGGGACATAGTGACAGGCAGCCTGCAGCACGTTGTCCTAATCTACAACGTTGTGTTCTATCATGTATAGGGCGCTGTCTACGAGCAAGACCGCATGTCGACTACCTACTTGCTGGACGCGGACTTATACACGATTCCAGTAGCGACGAAGACTACGTCGATGACCCTCTGGTTACGGTTGAGGATATCGCAAATGAGGATGCAGACATGGAGGGCTTGGAGAACGAAGCCTGCGATGATGCGCGCAAGGTCGATACGTTACCGGGTGGGAAGGATACGGGCGCTGTGGCGGGCGAGAACGACAGCGCTTCCGGGGAGAAGAGCGTTGCGGCGGGCGAGAAGGACGTGGCTACGGGCGAGAAGGATGTGGCTGCCGGTGAGAACGACGACGCCGCCAGTGTTGCGGCGAGCGAGAAGGATGACGCTGCGCGCGAGAAGGCCGTGGCTGCAGACGCCAAAGCCACCGCCGCGGAGCCGGGTGATAACAACGCGTTGGCCGATACAGGTATATGTTCCGGTCGATTTCTTTTGTTGCTGATACATTACTTGTGTTGCTTACTATGTTGCTTTGAATGTTGCTTTCAATGGTTACAAAACTAAAGACTATGCACGGGCATTTGTTGATGCCGCCCGTACCAATGCCATCGAAAAAAGTCGCAAACGGAAGCAGCTGTCCGTGCCGTACAGCCGCAAATCCTGCCATGGTGCCTTTGAGATAAACGAAAGCG